CTCCACCCGTTCTCAGTGCCTTCGATGTGTTCTTCTCCCTGTAGCCTTCTCTAGTCATGGCTACCAATTTACATGTGAATACTGTTTTTTTTAGTAATTTTTCAGTAGGTGGAGATTGTCTCAATATTGGGGAGTGGGCGAGGAAGATAACTGAAAAAAAAAGAAAATCTAGTTTGTCGCAGTCTGACCTTCTTTTACCTTGTGTCAGTCTCCCCGCAACGCACTGAATTTCGATTTTGATCAATCGGATGGCTAAATGCACTTATATGGCATTCAGCAATATTCCTACGCCGCTACAACGTAAACACAGTGCCCTTCTTAAGGCGGACGTGATACGAACAGTCTAAAACATAATGGTTTTCCTTTTTTATATCTCCAACTAAGATTGTTGCATCTCTTTCGAACCTTAGATTTAAACGTGCTCGGAATTTAACAAATAGCAAGATTAAAGTTATTCCTTACATGGAGATTTTTAAAAGCGAAGATTCCAAATTCCATTAGACGCAATTTTGTAAAGCCTTGCATGATCTTGATACCTTGGTTATCTTGTAAAATAAGCAATGTGGTTTGTAGCTCGTAAGAAAGAATAGAAGTATAAATCACTCTGCGTGATCAATACCTGACGGATGCGCCATGCATTTGACTTTATTAATCAACGTTTGAAGGTGATCGAATGCATATCTGGCCTTTACAATGACTCACGGTGGGCTACCGATGTATAGTGCTGCTATCCTTCCAGACAAGTCTGGTACCAATTTGCCGACCCCGGAGCGATGGAAGGCTTGGTGGGCCATGGACATGCGATCGATTCCACGTGTGTGTTGCGGGGAGCCTCCGACTACTGCGCCACGCGCGGTTGCACTGTTTTACGAAAGGCTGAGCCCGCTCCTACCTATTTGGACTAAACACGGTGGTTACAAATGGTGCGGTTGTTTTAGGAAGCCCCTCACTGGACAGAAATGAATCACATTTGTTTTTTCTCCGAGTACAGTAGGCCAGTTGAAGATAAAGAGGAGAAAAAACATTCCTTAGACGATTTGCGCAGTTGGAGTAGGTATTATACCTGTTTGTTTTGTTGCTTAGACGCCACATTTCATGTAAACACTAGAGATGTACTCCACTTTTTTCTTTGTCCGGTAACGTTCATCCGTTGTGGCAGCCGATGTTTTGTTCAAGGTAGTGTTCCATGGGAATGTGAGCAAAGTGCGAAACTACTTGATCAACAATACATAGAGCATCAAAGCCGTGAAAGACAGGTAGAAGCACTGAACAGCATTTGGCAATCCGAATGTCTGTGTTGCATTTGGTCTTTTGCTTCGTTGCTTCCTCCTTCACGTCGACACATGTTGACCGGGATTCGGAACACCATGTGGGATCACTGTTCCAATAAGTGGTATTGGCTTCTTAGCTGCAAGCCTTCTTCGTATACTATGTTTTCGCTCTATGACAACGAAGGCTCCAGAGAAATTTCATGTTTGTGCTTTTGCTCCTATCATTTGAAACAGGCGATTTCATTCATTGCAGTACTTTGGCGAACAGTTTTGGCCATTCATTTGCATACTAAGCATGGTTGAATGCCTAAGTCATCTTAAATCCTCTATAGTTCTTGACTTGTGGTTACCTAATATTTCTGGACCTTTAATTCCTCTTGATTAGAAGAATCTCTGTCGGTTATCCATGAGTGCTGCATCAGTGAGCTCTTTACCAAGAATCTCTTAGCCAAAGGATATTCGAAGAATGGCATAGTAGTGATGATAAGAACATCATAAGGAAATAATAAGAACGTAGTCTGCGCGTCCCCTCTTAAATAATTGTGCATTGCGTGTGTGCAGACAGAGGTTGAGAAAGCAACATTCCGTTCCGCTTGAACCTCTTATCCCATTTTCTTACATCAGTTGTCAACAAGTATTTTCAACCAGGTGTATTTGATATCTGAACTCTAATGAGCATTGCAAAGTTATCATCCAGGATTCGCATAGAAATTTATCAAAGAGTACAAAAAACTTATGGAAATTACCATCGTATTTTTCTGCTCCGAACCATCCTTTTTCAAGACATAACCATCGAACTCTCTTCTTTGGAATAACTCTTAATAAGGATTTCTTCTACGTTTAGTGTAGGGAGCATCAAAACTTCACTCAAGGTTTTGAGTAAGGAGCGCTCGTATAAGGCTTACTGAGGCTTGCTGTAAATGCGAGGCTTATTTTCGAGCTATACTTTCGTATAACCACAGGGATGCCGAGATATGATCAAAACTCAGGACCTTAATTGGCTTCGAACCTCATCGGAGGCTAATGTTTATCCATTGCACCACCGAGAGCCGTGCTTTGCCTTGCTGTCAGCCATGTTCTTACTCTATCGGTGTTATCAGCAGTCATCCATCAACAGGGTATTTGATCATACGTATGACAAAAAAATCGTCTGCTCAAGGTTTGCTGTGAAAATTCGGTCGATTGTATGAATAATTTCACCATTTTGTTTATACCATAAGGAATTTACCTATCAAAAGTATAAAACATGAGTTTAAAAGGCACAAGCCCGGTGATTAGACTCAGCACCCAACCAGCCATCTCTTGCAGCTTATAGGCTGGGTAAACTGGTGCTTGTCTGGGATAACTCGCTCTCTCCAGTTCATAATCTGGTGAGTGCTTGTGACGAAAATCAGCGATCGCTCTAGCACGGTGATTCTATAGAGAATCAACTCAACCACCACCGAACGGTATACAGGAAATTAAAAACACTCAAGGAACCACGAAGATCTGGGGAGCACAAATCGGTATTGAACCCAGTGAAGCTGGATCTGCCATCGAAGTCATAATATTTCAATTCTTCATTTAGTGCCTATTATCATTCTTGTGGTTGTACTTCACAACACACCTTGCCATGAAAAAATATAGCTACTAATGTTTTGCAATAGTATTAATACGATTTTGTTTGTACTAAACTATCTATAACATGGGTACGACTGGTGTATGCGTCAATGTGCATAATTGCATAGAAATAGGCATGTAGAAAATGCGGTTTATGCGGAAACTGACATCTCTGTAGTCCTCTCCTTCCGTACTGGTTATGATTCCCGTCCTCTTCAGTCGAAGATTTGCTGCATGCTGGAGAAAGTTGTTCTCATGGTCTATAAAGAAAGAGGCAAGTCGTATATGAGGAGAATATGCAGTACAGAGTCCCTTATATACATGACCAGCAGATTAAGGAAGACCGGAGCGAGGATTGCAAGCTGCTGATCTGGCGACATAAAAGTAGTGCTGAACGCGCTTCAGTTCTTTAGTTATTTAGCTCGGGAAGAAAAGAGAACTGAAGTTTATTCGTATTGCAACACATGCCTAATAAAAAGGGATCAAGCTTTCGGTGTTGATCAATCGATGAAGGATGCGCCATGCATTCAACTTCATTAAGCATCGTTTGGAGGTGATTGAATGCATATGTCCCTTGCAATGGCTCGCGGTGACCTACCGATGTATCGAGCCAATGATGCTATCCTCCCAGACAAGTCTGGTACCGATTTGCCGACCCCGAAGGAATGGAAGGCTTGGTGGGCCATGGACGAGGAGATCGATTCCACGTGTGTGTTGCAGGGCGCTTCCGACCACTGCTCCACGCGCGCTGCTTCACTCCAGCACAAACCTCACACAGCAGATGTCAGCTGTAAAAGGTATTTGGAATCCGCACAAGTAGGAAAAAGATTGAAAGAAGCAACTATAAAGAGAACAATTCTAAACAAATACCCTTTGTGAATACAATGAATACAATGTACAATGTACAATGAATACAATTATTGCTATCGGCAATATTACGCGAAAATGAGATTATTACATCCACCTGCCGTAATATGTAGTTGCTAAGAGGGAAATCTCACGCCATCTTTTTCCACTCCACAGCAGTCTTTTCAGACCTCAAAATTTCTGTTCAAGAGAATCCACATTCCTCCTCTGGTTTGAGTTACAATACTAAGCACGAAGAGAAGCACAGCGACAGGGCTACTGTTGTAGCCGACTTTCTTCATGGAAGAAGTCTACGTTGTTCTGAAATTAATGGCGGATTTCAAGCTGTATTTGCAGAGTCACATATCTCATCTCAGAAAAAAAATTTGATTAGTCGGAATGAAAGCCTTAGAATCTACACGTGTTTGCCTACGAGTAGCAAGTTTATTTATTCCACCTGCTTAAAACAATGGAGTTCTGGAGGCGAAGAAGTCGTTGAGAGTAGTTTCGACCTCAGGTTCGTTTCTGAAGGATTTTTCGCTCAGAAGATTATGCTTCAAGAAGTGTTATTTGGTAGGCGAGAAATCTGGGGTGTTTGGTGGACGAAGCAGAGTTTCATAACGGAACTCGTTCAACTTTCGCAGCGTCGGTAGTGCGACGTGTAGCCGTGCATTATCGCAGAAACACATTGGTCTTTTTGCTGTTACTTATGCCATGCGCAGACGTTGAAGTTTCTCTTACAATTCGTTGATTTGCCGGAATTACTTCTGCGCGGTAATGATTTCACCTAGATTCGGAATGGTATGATAAATCGAACCAGCTGTAGACCACGAAAGGGTCATCATGACCTTTGGTGCAATTCCGGCTTTGGAAAGTACTACGGAGCTTCATCGCGGTCCAACTACTAATCCCATTGTTGCTGGTTATCACACAGCATCATTTTTCGCCTCATGTCACAATACGGTCGAGAAAGGGATCGTTTTTGTTGAGGAGTACGATGTGCTGGCGATACCTCAAAACGGCAATTTCTTCGATCATCATTCAATTCTTCCGACATCCATTTGTAGTGTTTCTCCGATTTTCAAGCTTTTTCACATGTTCCGAAAACAGTTTATATGCTTACGATGTGTTTTTTGGCAAGTTTCGAACAGTTGGGCGTGTATTTTCTTCCACTAAATCTTTAAATTCATTTCGAAACCGACATTCCTTTAACCTCGGTGTGACTAATCAATATGCATTCTTTCTTTGATGAGCTCACACGTGGTTGATAAATACATTTTTCGGCTAACGTTTCGACGTCTTCCTCTTCATCAGAGCCGATGATCCGAGTGGATGGTTCGCGCTTGGTATTCGTCTCAATGTGGCAGCTTCGTCTTCGTGTCGAGTCAGGTCTTCTTCAGTGGGCTCTTTCCTCGAAGCTGATGTCTTAAATTCATTATCCTCAGTAGCAGAAGGATGTCCACGAGCTCCCTCATCTCCAGCGTCGAATTCCTCAAAATGAAGTTTTCCAAACTAACAGTGCACTGTGCGTTTGACAACACTTTCCTGGCCCCATACCTCATTAGGGCCGATCCGTTTGCGCTGCACTTTGTCCAAATTTGCATTCGTAGTAAATTTTTCGAAATTCCTTAACAGTGAAGGAAACTTACTTACCTTCTTTCTTTAAACTTCCTTAGCAACGAAAAAGAGTTTGGCTGCGTCGAAACGAGCGCATTCTCTTCCACGCTTGTTGACCAACCAGCGGATCCGCATTACATAGTAACTCTAGCTGACCAATACCGTAATTGTGCCAAAAATCACAGCTTTTAAATAGCCCTTTTACGACTCCCATAGGAAAAGAGTCCCAGAAGGCGAGACCATCTTAGCTGAAGGGTTTATAACCGCGTTATCAATGAACTCGCTCGATTGGAACGAGAAGGGCATAGGCATTAAACGGACAATTCCTGTCAAATCTCCGTTTTGTTGATGAGATCGTCATCGTCGCGAGGAGTGCCATTGAAGCAGAGACGACGCTCAAGGAGGTCGACGAAGTGTGGAAAAGGATAGAACTATGCATAAATCAAAGGAAAATTCAGTTCATGAAAATCCATGGTGCGAAGATGAGCAATTCAAACTGCAAAGTTTTCTGATTAGAGATACTTATTTTTTATTGTTACCATTTATTTTTATATTGTTTTTATCATCACATATTCATTTGTTTATTATTAAATTATTTATTATTGTTTCTTTATTATTTTACCTTTATTGTTATTTTTTATCTTGATTTTCTGGTCCTACATGAACCTACATTGTTCCATGAGTGTAGGAAAAGGCATAAAATAGAGAATTGGACCGCGATGGAGAGCGGTATGGATCACGCTTTGGCGTCTCACAGATTCCACCATTCCACCATCCAACTAATGCATTCGAAACTCCGCGCTCACCTTTTTGATTCTCAGTGCTCCGTTGTGGTGATCTCGTTTCTCTATTGCCCAGCAGATACGTGGCGTGATACTTCACCCATGTCAAGCATTATGTGCATTACGCACAGAGCGCCTAAATGATTTATTCTGAAATAAAACCGACAAATACAACAACTGGCTCTACTCTGCTGTTTCGGCATTTAAAAGTTTTACCATCCTAGAGTTCTTGAAGAACACACATAAAAAGTAAATTGTTGATGGTTCGGTCTTTAAAAGAGAAGAGTCGCCAAAGAAATGTACTCCAGGAGGATGCAGTTGTCCTTTAGGAAGACCACTCTCCATGATGGGCCATCGCGTTTATGGCTCTCGTCAGCTAGAAACATGCGCAATTGTAAACGAAGAATGGGGCTCACAGTTGTCACCATGGTCAAATCAAGCCACCATCATGAACGATGATGATCGCGAGACAAAGAAAAGGATGAGAAATATGCCAGGGCTCGCTCTACTCGTAATGAGAGGTATCCAGGCATTCAAACTAGCCATGATCAAGGACGGATCTGACATGCCAAATCACCCGTTCATGTGTAATGAGCATATAAATGGAGTCATGTATAACAAAAGTAGATGATCAGTTGAGAAAGGGCGATCAGTAGAAAGTAAAAGCGCCAAATGTTGATACAGTGATTTTTCTGCTCATTTTTCGTTCTTTCGGATGTGTAGTTTAAACTGGTTTGAAATTTGGTAAAAATATCTGTCTTTTCCTATTTTTATTTCTATATCTGTGTTTCGACAGAATCAATTAAGAAGTAGCTTTATAACATCTTACATGCTTTTCTTAGAATTTTAAAAATATTCTCAAGCGAACGTATTTTCTGCCGACGCTAAAAGCGCTCACGCCCATCTTCGATGTTCCCCGATGGGTTCGACTCGAGATGAATTTGTGCCAGTGGTTAGTGATATAACTGCAAAATTTTTCGTACATAGCACAAAGCTACTTTGCTGAATTGCTTGCGGAATCAGCCAATGAAATCATTGTTAGAGTCGAATTTCACATAAACTGAACAAGCTACGGCGTCAGCTGTTTACTCGATCTCTTTGAGGCCCAAACGATCAAACTTGCACTATCGTCTCTTTGCAGCGTCGTAGAGCCAGCCGAAAGGCAAAAAATCCATGGTTAAAGCTAGATTCAAAATATACGTCCAGAATTACACGTGGCCTTTTTTTCGATCCTACGCTCAGAGCTCACCATGCTTTCCAGTCCTCTGCACTCGGCAAATTGGTACCAGGTTTGTCCGGGAGGGTAGCAACAGTGACTCGGTACAGTGCTAAGCTACCACAAGCCATTTTATAGAGCAAATATACATTGAACCACGTTTGATGATACTTAATGGAATCCGATAACTATATTTCTAAGTGCAGAATACAGCGAATGCGGCTTTTTACGACCGGTGAACTCTACAACATCTGGGTTGGACAAGTTATCGATCTATTACAAGAAGTTTAAGAACGGGTTCTGTGCGTGAAAATACACCACCTGAAAGAGAATGGCCCATATCACATCGCTCACTCGATAGCCCTCGTACGGCTGTTTAGAGTGCGCGCCGTCAGTTATGTGTTAAGAAAATTGTTTTTCCATTGTACAGCATTTAACCCATTATTGACATTAGTTATTCACCATCGAATAAATTTTTGCTTTAACGGAAACACAAAGTAGCACTCTTTGCAGATGGACACCAAAAATGATCTGGCGATAGAAAAGCTGTAGAAAACTGACTGTTGCATAAGTTGAAAATAATCCGATCACATGCCGCTTAACCAGTCGCTCGGACCAAAAAGCATTGTTCGTGGGATTATTAAGTCAAGAGAGAAGAGGTTGCCCTTGTGAACATAGGACCAGCTAGTATTCATCCCAACTTTAATCTTTGGTTGGTTAACTTAGGAGGTGAACCATTCTTGATCATTTTCTAATTAGAATGTTTTTCTTCCTTTTAATTGGAACATTGCCAGTGTGACCTGTTCTTTTCCTACCGGTAAATCTCCTCGTCATACTGGATCTTTCAACTAATCTCGAGACTGCTGTCCATATCAGAGTTCGATTTCGTGTCTTATTGTCCAGTATTAACTGACTGGCCTACACTTCAACAACTACCAATTATTGAAATATTTAGCCGTTCCCTGAAGTAATAGCTGTTTTGATCGTTATGAGATTTGTAAACACATTTTGTAAGCAGGATGTTTGTCTTACACAGTACTGATTTACGGCGTTTTAAAGGTTATTTAATCCTTGACTATTATCCAGGTGATAAGCTTTCTTCTAACATTTCGTTTACACTGATCGAAATGGTGCTTTTAAAGTGTTTCGAAGTTCTTCACCAGTTCGAACTTCTCCTCCCACTGCGGAAACAACATGGATTTTCTTCAAGACATGGACCAGGGGAGGACTTTCAAACGTAGAGAGTTGGTAAGTTTACCCAGCGAAGAGATGATTCTTCATCAAGGAGAAGATCATGCTCGCCTAGCAGCAATTGACGGTGACCATCCGAAGCTCATAATCGGAATTGCTCTTCAAAGAGCTATTTTAGGAACTATAGGAAAACTTTTATGCACAACAACAACAACACTATGTTCAACAATCGTTCGTCATGTTCAAACTGCTTGGAAGTTGAAAAGATTCTTGAACTGAATAAATGGAAACGAGATCGGCGTCACGAGGCCTATTCTGCGCTTTTTTCACACAATGAAAACTACTCATTTTTGGTTGCTTTTTATTGTAAGATGAAAAGTGGACTCAACACGATGTTAATCCGGGAGGGTGTAATGAGATGAAACTCCTAAACGTTTTCCAAAGCCGAGTTTGCATCAAAAGACGGTTAGGCTGACATTTCGTCTTCTCAAGAGCAGGTTCGACAGTAGTGCATTATCTTGAATCTTGACGAAACGATCACAGGAGAAAAGTAGTGTCACCAATTCGGTGATATATATTGAAAATTGCAATGTATCCCGCTTTGGCTAGTAGAGAATTAAGGTGAACCTTGCCTCACCCACCATAGTCATCGAGCTGACACCAACCCACTAGCATTTTTGCCCATGCCTCTCGACACGCGGCTAAATGTAAGGAAAAATCTTCAGCAACTAAACCACTCTTATAAGTGTTTGAGGGGGTCTCGCGTCTTCCAGAACTTCACGATTGTGCGCTACCATATTAACACACTTTTATCTCGTTGTAGTAGTGCTTGTAGCTCAGCGGCTAGGCGTTCCTTTTGAAACACGCTTGAACCTAGGTTTCATCCTCTGCCACGGGTACACCAAGCTTTCCGGGATAGGCAGATTGGTATCGTTTACGAGAATACCACCCCTGACTTGAGACATCCGTAGATCACAACAAGTCATTGCATAAGCCAAATATGCGTCCATTCACTTCTAACGATTCTTGATAAAGTTGGATGTATAACTTTCTCAGGGATTGATCAGCGCCGAATATTTTGTCTTTTATTCTTCATCCTATTTAAAAAGTACAGTAATCAAATGGCTCTCAATTTGACGAATGAGGCTGTGTTTATGCTTGTTTACAACACTTGAACGTTGCCGTTAAAAGCGTTTAAGTGTTGTCACCACTTCAACGTTGCCGTTTCTCCGTTGTTTTCCAACCAGCTCAGACGTGCTTGAACGACTGTGCAACACTGTCGTAAATGCCGTCAAATTGCAGTGGTCGTTAATCGTTATTTCAGGTCATCTTATTCTGAACACATAACTCATAATCGTATGGTAGTGCATTCTAAAAAAAAGCGCCAACGGGCTCACCTTCTCTCAATAACGCTGGTTTGATTAGGCAATCCGACGTGCCCGTTTGAAGTGGAACCGCTGTCATAGCCACAACATCTTCTCATCGCGTGGACTCGTTTTCCTCCCAAACCGAATTCATCCCTTACTTTTGCACTTGGCACTGAAGTTGTTTTCTTCATAGTAACTGGTTGCCTTGCACAGATATTATCTAAGACCGCACGACGGTGTCGTGTCGGAGTATACTGATAGGTGACTGGGATTGAATTTCCCCACCTTACTCGTTAAACGTAGGGTGACATCGCAGAGAATTTTACAATATTCCGAGAGAATGAACCAACTTTTTTTCTTCTTTCGCTGTTCGTAAAAACTCAAACACCTTCGCTTCTTTAAACTGGTAGTAATTTTTCATTTCGGTTTACAATCTATACTCGGACGATGAATGCAAATGAGTGTCTGACCGTTTCAAAAAATAGCAAGACGTCTAGAAACCACTTGAAAGATAATCAGTACAAAAGAGAAATGGCCTACCATTCACGCTATCTAAGTGCTCTCTACGAGATGTGTTGCTTTCCGCTGTTTCCACGACATGCCGTGAAAGAGACGTCATAAGAATCAAAGTGAAGGAACCCCGTTTATCAATATAATT